CCCCCCCCACCCCCAGCCAGCTCACTCCTTCGCCGTGGCAGCAGTGCAAAAGAATAGAAAGGGCCAATCAAAAGGACTGGGTGTGCGAATGTGTGAATGTGGGATTGTAGGACTCTAGGATTCTGGCCTTTGGGTATTTTTAGAGTCAGTCAGTCAGTCAGTCAGTCAGTCAGTCAGTCAGCCCTACGTACGAGGCTGAGTGCTGTGGCGTAAGTACAGTGTAGGTAGGATAAGGAGGGAGAGAGATGAGAGGACAGGATACGTGCGTATTGCGAAATTGCTGATTGCGCATAACTACTTATTTTGGAGGTTTTTTTTGGTGTTGGTGTTGTTGTTTTGGGGGGTGTGATGGGGGTGCAGAGTCAGTCAGCCTGAGGAAGAGAATATAAGTAGATGAAGGAGTGGAAGAAGACAAAAGGGGGAAAAAAAAGGGGGAAAAAGGAAAGAAGAAAGCAAGGGAGACAGTAGCAGTACCAGTACCAGTACTAGTGTCAATGTCAATGCCCAATGCCCAAAGACCGTAATAACGCATCAAACCCGACTTTAGGTTTAAACCAGAGTTTGTGCAATCAGGTGTACTGTACTTTACTTACTTGGAAAACACCAAAAGTTTTCAATGTAAATAGTAAGTATGCCGCTCGTCTACTCGGCGCACCGCTGCACAACGCAACGCAGGACAAGCGCGAAATCTCTCTCTCCGCGCGGTACGTACCGAGCAACGGCGCGTTGGAAAACGTACATAGTTTGTGCGCTTGCAATATCAGAATCATGGTCGTGCAGCTGGCTCGTGGCAAGGAGCATGTTTTGGTTGGTGGTAAGCTGAGGCTGGTATGTAAGTAAGCTCGCAAGATAGATATACTTAAGTACGTACACCCACATGCACACTCACACCTACGCCTACACCTACGTCTAAGCATATTATTAACCCCCCCCCCCCCTCGTCTTATGTCATCATCACCACCACCACCACCACCATTACAACCGTCACCGTCACCGTCACCGCCATCCTCGGCATCGCCATCGCCATAATCCCAGCCTTACACCTCTCCACTTTCCAAGGTACACATCCCCCTACCCACGCTTACCATAGCATAGCATGCAGTGCAATATAAGATAACATAACATAACATAATCCTCGACACGGCGCTAACCCGCCGTAGTCACAGTCACATTCACAGTCACAGTGAGAAAGCAGAAAAGAGTAACGGGATCCCGCATACAAAAGCACATCACATGAGCTGCAGAATCGACCTACTTACTTACTTACTTACTTACTTACTTACTTACTTACTTACTTACTTACTTACTCAGCCTGGGGAGGGGGAAAAAAGAAACGCAAGAAGAAAGGGGGGAAATGAACTGGATTGGGTGTGGTGCGGTGCGTGGGGGTGGCCGGGTAATATGTCTGGGTGCCACCACCACCGTTTTGGTTCATACGCGCGCGCGGGCCACGCGGTATGAGCTGTCTGTCTGTTTGCCTTGCTATCTGTCTATCTGTCTACGTTCCCATCTACCGGTGAGTAGTTAGTTAGTTAACTAGTTAGTTAGTTAGTTGATTAGTAGACTGTCGATTACGCCGATTACTCCAGTGCTGCTGCTGCTGCCTGGCAGACTGGCCGACTGGTTTCGCATGGAGAAGAGAAGAGAAGAGAAGAGAAGAGATGGACGAGCAAGGTATAGAAAATGAGGGACCGGTGAGTTAGGCATGCTTTGTTGGTGATTCAGCCTCTCTCTCTCTCTCTTTTGGACGTGGTGTGCGAGGGCAGGTAGAGTGTTGCTGGGCTGTTTCGGTAAGCGCGCGTATGTATGTGGGCGGGGGGAAGCGGAAGTGGAAGTGGAAGTGGAAGGGGAAGGGGGTTGTAGAGATGTCTTAGAAGGGCATGTGGCCTCGTGTTGGGTGGCGGTGCTTTTGAAAGGGGCGAGGGGCGTGGAGAGTGAGAGTGAGCACGAGGCGGGGGGAGAGAAAAATTCTGCGTTCTGTATGACTCTAGTGGGACATATTTGATTGGAATGGAATGGAATGGAATAGTATGGTTCTGAACATGGACGCATAGGTTGAGTAAAGACGAAGCTACATAGAAACGGGGGGTGCGTCATGTAAGAGCATGAGGATTAATTATGTAGATAGAATGAACAAATTACCAGATTTGCCGCGCGAATTTTTGACTCCAGGTCATGGACAAAAGTACAGGATAACAAGGAGGAAGAAGGGAAAGAAGAAGAAGAAGAAGAAGAAGAAGAAGAAGAAGAAGAAGAAGAAGAAGAAGAAGAAGAAGTGTGAATACTACTGCACACCAGCCAGCAAACCAGCCTTGACAGCAACCCAGGCTCGAATCTTGAGAAACTTGCGCAACGCGTGTATAGTGGCGTCGATGTAGTCAAAAGGGACTGACACCGCAGCCCTTACTGAATACAGAGCAAAGCATTTGGCCACCCAGGTAGCTGTCTGTGGATTCTCCTCTGGTAAACGGCGGATCGATGACCATGATGCCGCCGCGCCTATGAGTGTGACCCATAAGAAAACTCCAGATAAATCGTCGCCCCAGCAGCTGCGCGTGTCCGTCTTCTCAAGAGCATTGTGAAGGGCTGATAGTAACGTGGAACTTCTTGAGCTGGCAGTGGCTGCGTGTACAACATTCCCCGAGTCTACGAGACTGGTTCCGTGCACCATGGTCCGGCAGTAGATCAGGGCAGCGATACGGCAGCTCTCGTAGATCCAATCCGGGGTAATGTCGCTTTCAGTCGACGGCAATAACAAAAGGCGCGAGTAGATGGCCTGGAGCTGAGAGTCGCAATTGGCCAGCTGTCCACTTGAGATTCCGTGTCCGTCACTGGCGCGATTCCAGCGCGCTAGGAATATATCTGTGCAGTTTTGAATCTCCAAGATGATGCCGGCTATTCCAACAGAACAGACACGATATAGCTGCGAGGTGTGCTCGAGAGGAGATGAGAGTGGCGAGATGGGGACGCCATTGCCGGATCCTGTTCCAGCAGGAAACCATGGGGTGAACTCTGCCGACTCTGTCTGATTCTTCGAGATGGCCAAAGTCAGCATGACCCTACTCCAGGTTAGTTGGCAGCTTGTACGCATGGCACGTCACGTACAAGGTCATGAACCTGGCCACACTAGGGTTTAGCCCGTCTCGTTGACTTCTCAGGCACGTTGCCAGACCATCCTGGTGCACGTTGAAAACGGCCTCATCGACACCACCAATCTCGCTGATGAGGAGGTGCAGTATGCAGACGACCGTGGCATTGTCCGTGTCAAGGCGGTTGCTGATGAGTCTGAGAAGCTTGGTTTTGGCCAACACGGTGAGGCCACTGTCATACAGCAGGCCTTCGTCAATATCTTGATAGACCAAGGTAGCATAGACATGGCTGAGGAAGGATAGATTGTTGTCGCAGATGTATCGCATCCATGCTTGATCTGCACACATGAGCAAATACTACGGGTCCATGCCATACCACTCACCATGGCAAAAGAAGACGGTAGTGCGGATCCATTCACGCTTCATTACATTCAAGAGCTCGTTTTCGGCCATATCATTTCGATGAAACGGGTATTCCGAGGCTTCCTGACAAGCTGGAGGTGCGCTGTGCGTGCATGTTGGGTTTGTCGCAGACAGAATTCGTGCCGCAAGGTTTCGCAAAGGATCTGTGGGAGACGAGGGTGAGTAGGAATCAAAAGCATGCTGGCTCAGGGAAGATTCATCGCTCTTCTTCGACGTGGGCGTGAGGAGTGCAGCGGATTGCAGTAAGCCAAAGGAGTCGGTCGTGGCTGGGCTGGGGGTTCGTGTCAGAGCACCTGGCCCATTGCTGCCTTCTCGGCTTCGGATCGAGGTTGTAGGCGAAGATGCTCGGTTCTCTTGATGCTTGTACATGACGTGTGACCGTACATTTCTCAGGACTGCAGTGTCTCGAAAGTCGTCTGGATGGTTTGCAACGATGAACTGGAGGGCAGGGCCTTGTGCGAGCGGTGGGAGGCGGTGGCGGCCGGCTCGTCGTTTTGATGGCTTTGGGTCGTTGGAGGCCATGCTGGAAGGCAGATGATGAATCCGACGTGTGCTACGCTAATAAACCGAAACAAAGGCAGATGGCAACCGTTGGCCCACTAGGGTTTCCAGCAGGTGACAGAGCCTGAAGGGTATAAAGGCGTAACTAGTCTACAGGTAACGTGAGATGCAGGTACCATTTGGGACACTGCAACTCGTTGTTAGTCTGCTTTGGTGTCATGAGCCACAGCCACAATAAGAATATAGCGGTGGACGTCCGACAGGGTCTAGGGTAGCTGCCACACTGCCGTGTTGGAGGGTTAAAAGCATGTTCCACAAAGCTGTCGAGCTAAACCTGAGCAGTGATGAGGATGCGGAGCACGGTCGGTGGCATACAAGGCGTACGTGGTTCCCACAGCTGTTCGTCATGAACAGTGCATCGCGCACTCCGGACTCAGTATCCTGGCGCAGCACTCTGAGCATACGGCAGGCAGTGAAGACTGAGTGCTCTTGTAGCGGATGCGGTGAACCCCCACCGTCCCGATGTGAATGCCGGTACGGGCCTCTCTATGCTCCCGATCCGCCCCCGAACAATATCGGCATACAAGTAGTCTCGGCTAGTGGGTGGCTGGTCTGTAGAATCCCCATCATCGCCAACGAAGCAGCGAGGGAACTGGGGCAGGCCCGGCACTACAGACCGCCACTATAGATAGCCTTGGTGACGCCAAGAAGGATTTACTAACAGTCGTTTTTTTATTCGAATACCTTTGGTTGCAAACAGGGTCTAGAGAAGTCAACATCTTACTCTCAGTTCAACTGACCTGTCAAGGAATTCGTCGGGCAACACCCAAGTCGTTTTCTTTCCGTTTCCAATGGGCAGCAGGCGAATCGATGGTAAGAAAGTGCATCGGCATGCTTGTGGTCGGGCAACCCATTTACCCAATCTAATCCTAGCGTGTGCCCCTACCCCGGTCGCTGCATATAAGCCGCAGGCGTAGGCAGTGAGCCTTGTCTTATTGGTTTATGACCAAGACTGAAGAACGCCTCGAGCATCTACTTGACCTATGGCATGTCGCGGGTACAGCAACCATACATGACGCTTTGATACGTCATAAAGGACGTTGGGAGTGCTGGTTGACTACATGGTCAGCAAGATTTGTTCTACTCTGTATGCAACAGGGTCGTAAGTGGATTTGAACAATGACTGGCATGTTGCTTGTTACATGCTACATAAGCCACGGCGGAAGGCTCAAGCAGCGTGGCTGTGGAAGAGATGGGAATATGGTTGAGGATTTGCCTTGCAGGACGGCCGAGTTACCTTTGTTGTAGTCCAGAATGATTTTGCTCGGAGTGCCCATTTTGGTGGGCTGGTGGGTTGCAAAGAAAAGAAAAGGGCCTTGCGGCATGTAGATCTCATCTGAAAGCAGCGTACCGAGCAAAAGGAATCCGAATTGTGGTGACCTGAAAACACGACGCTTAAGACGTATGTATGTTGGTGATGCATGTACTTGGTCGTCTAGCTTCTTTGTCAGAGAGTGCTTTGCATCCATGTGTATGTAGATCGCGTGCAT